TGAGCATATCAGCTTTTTATTAAATGGTAGACATAGAAATTTGAGCATATCAGCTTTTTATTAAATGGTAGACATAGAAATTTGAGCATATCAGCTTTTTATTAAATGGTAGACAAAGAAATTTGAGCATATCAGCTTTTTATTAAATAGTAGACATAGAAATTTGAGCATATCAGCTTTTTATTAAATGGTAGACATAGAAATTTGAATGTGTCAGCTTTTTATTAAATGAAAGACATAGAAATTTGATAGTGTTTGTGAATGTGTTGGTGGATATTGTACAGTTTAAGAGATTTTTTTGGGGCCTTTCTGCCAATGCTTCAGTGGAAGGCAATACCTTGGGATTTTATGGGGTTCAACACAACTCTCCATATATTGCACCAATAGTCCATTCGCTTCTTTTACCAAGAACTTTAATCTTGGTGGCAGACCACTCCCTCTCTCTGTCAGTCTGTCAAACTATCTACTAATATGGCACTATTCTCATTCTCTTTCCACTGTCTACAACATTAATACAATGTTTAACAGAAGTGTAGAATATATACTGAGATCAGGATGTTCAGGTTATGTCTACAACATTAATACCACTATATCAAATTTCAGACATAATCTAAATATCCTGTACATCAACATAACCTCCACACATTTGTTAAACACTGTATTAATGTTGTAGACTTAATCTAACCATCCTATACATCAACATAACCTCCACACATCTGTTAAACACTGTATCATAGTCTTAAACATAATCTAACCATCCTACACATCAACATAAGCTCCACACATCTGTTAAACACTATCATAGTTTTAGACATAATCTAAACATCCTGTACCTCAACATAACCTCCACACATCTGTTAAACACTGTATTAATGTTGTAGACTTAATCTAAACATCCTGTATCTCAGTATAACTTCCACACATATGTTAAACACTGTATTAATGTTGTAGACTTAATCTAAACATCCTGTATCTCAGTATAACTTCCACACATATGTTAAACACTGTATTAATGTTGTAGACTTAATCTAAACATCCTGTATCTCAGTATAACTTCCACACTTCTGTTAAATATTGTGATATACATGAAACTTGCCCTACCTTCATGTATATCACTACACAGTTACTAACAACCTAAACTTTCCCTACATTCATATACTTAGTTACGATTAGATTGTTATTAAGGAATCAATAAAATAGACACAAATCTTTAATTCTATTAAGTACTTTATTCCATTATAATCTTTATCTAGAACAACAACACTCACATACCACTTGATACATAGGCTTTAAAATAAATGTTTAATAACTTTGTTCACACTACACTGAAATACCACTTCATAAATAATCTTTAAGATAAATGTTTAATAGCCTTGTAGACACAACACTAAAATACCATTTCATAAGCCAGCTATAAATGTAAAGTGTTTTAATCTTACTTTATGTGTTTGATATCATATAAATTATTAATGATTAACAGTTTTTAAAAAGTAAAAATAATAATCTTTGTACAATGAAAATAGTAGTATATAGAACAATTATAATTAGTAATACTATGTTGAATTTAACTTAATACAGTAAGAGAAAAACTGATGTTTCAAAACTCACCTAAAATATCTTCTTTATCCACAAGAGGGAGCTGAGCATTGATACTCTCCTTAATGTCATCAATTAACTGATAAATCACTTTAAATTCTTTGACTTTGATTTTCTTCTCTTGTGCAAGGACTTGAACTTGTTTTGAGATGTTTACATTAAAGCAATAAATAATGCCTACAAAAAATTATTTAAACATCAATTAATATAGCTACTATTCAATTATCACAATCCTTGTAATTCTCAAACAGTTTCAAGATGCTTCTGGTAAACATATAGCATTATTGTTCTGGACATAATCTGAACATCCTGTACCTCAACATAACCTCCACACATCTGTTAAACACTGTATTAATGTTGTAGACATAACATAATCTGACTGTCCTGTACCTCAACATAACCTCCACACTTCTGTTAAATCCTATATTAATGTTGTAGACATAATCTAAACATCCTGTACCTCAACATAACCTCCACACATCTGTTAAACACTGTATCATAGTCTTAAACATAATCTAACCATCCTATACATCAACATAACCTCCACACATCTGTTAAATTACACAGTCACTACCAATCTAAACTTGCCCTAACTTCATGTATATCACTATACAGTCACTACCAATCTAAACTTGCCCTACCTTCATGTATATCATTACTTGGTCATTACCAATCTAAACTTGCCCTAACTTCATGTATATCATTACACAGTCATTGCCAATCTAAACTTACCCTAGATTCATGTATATCATTACACAGTCATTGCCAATCTAAACTTACCCTAG